AAAAAAAAAAAAAAAAAATTCTCACAGTGATTGTGCACATGATTTGGGAATTTTAAAGTTCTGTACAAGTAACAGGTGTTATGTGACATTCTTCCCCAAAAATGGATCAAAAATGTTTACTTACTAAGATAAAAATTGGATAAAAGTGGATCAAAAATGTTTACTTACTAAGATAAAAATTGGATAAAAGTAAGTTATTGAAAGTTTTCCAGTAGCACCCTAACAACTTAGTAATTGGTAATTTCTGCAGCACTTTTCTTGACCTTTAAAAAAAAGCTAATAAAAAATAAATTATTGGGGGGCGCCTGGGTGGCTCAGTTGGTTAAGCAACTGCCTTCGGCTCAGGTCATGATTCTGGAGTCCCGGGATCGAGTCCCACATCGGGCTCCCTGCTCAGCGGGGGGTCTGCTTCTCCCTCTGACCCTTCCCCTCTCATACTCTCTGTCTCCCATTCTCTCTCTCGGATAAATAAATAAAATCTTTAAAAAATAAAATAAAATAAATTATTGGTGAGGCTATGTGCTATGGTGAGCGCTGTGAATTGTGCAAGACTGTTGAATCACAAACCTGTACCCCTGAAACAAATAATACATTATATGTTAATAAAAATAAATAAATAAAAATTTTAAAAATATTTTAAAAATTTTAAAAAAAGAAAAAATAAATTATAAAAGTATTGATAATTATAAGAAAGAAAATATTTTAAATAGTAGAAAATTGGGAAAGGAGTCAGCCCTTTAATTGTGCCCCATAACCTCCCAGGGCACATTAGAACAAAATTACAAGCCATGCCCCTGAGGGGAAGACGGATGCCTGGAGCACAGCCCACACTAGGACAAGTATGCACTTGAGAAATAGCGGGTGGTCCTTGGCCTATCAGCCCATTGACCCATTGCAAGCGATCCTCCTATCCTGTGGAGCCGGCTGGGGGCGAGTCCCTGTGGCTCTTAGCTTCAAGTCTGGATGAGTGTTGTTCAGGGCTTCTCTAAGGAGGGGTGGTGTGGCCGTGGGGCTCAGCAGGTGGTCTCTTCCAACCCCCGCCCCCCCAGTTGAAAGTATGTGAGTAGCTGGAGTACATTTGGGGATTCTTGTGGTCCTAAGGAGACAGAGTCCACGTGCTGGGTTTTCAGCAGTGTCCCTGCTTTGGGAGATGGATCCCCGGCCTGATTCTGTTCTTTCTTTGTCGTTTGTCCCACTGCAAATGCCTCTCCTCGTGTTCCCCTAGTGTCCTGCTGCATTTACCCTTAGATAAGGGAGGCTCTGAAAGTTCATCCTTCTGGCTTCAGAAACACTTCGGTTCAAGTTCTATGTCACGTTGAAGTAAACTGAGACACAGAATTCCTCCTCCTTCATTTGTAACAAACCCACTGTAAAATCAGGCCCCCTTTTGTAGGGACAGTCTTGGGTTGCATAGGGCACTCGTGCGTTTTTCTAAAATAAGCAGACTGCTGTCATTTGAAAGCTCATACCATTTTATGTAATCTGCTGAATTTATTGCAAGTAGTTCCTTCTTTAGCTTAGTTTTTATCCATTGTAATTTGTAGATTTGTTGAGCTGGGTCAGCGTCGACATAAACAAGACAAGAGCAGCCAGCAGCTCTGTTCCAGGTGCCCAGATGGAGTTATAAAACTGTAAGTACTAGATGAGACCTTTCAAAAATCTTTGTATTCATGCTATTCACAGTACTTTTTTTGTAGACTTTTTCAAGAAAATTATTCAGTCTTGTCACCATATTAGTATAAGCACTAAAGCATCTCTTCCTGATGTCTTACCCAAGAATAACTGGGTAGCTGTGGGGATGGAAAAGAGATCAGCAGCTTTGACTTGAAATGTGCGCTTTGGAGGTGGGATTGGAGTTGCTGGAGGCTTCCTTCCATAAACTTGGCTCTCCATTGGGTAGAGATGGGATTGACAAAATAGCTCTGACCCTGGAGACAGGCTCCTCAGGTTCAATACAAGACCCTTGAGGGCACTGATAGGTTTGTCTCTTCTAGCTGTATATCCCCACTGGTTCTAATGACTTGCTGTAAGTTAAACAGGTGTTTGGTAAATTTTTAAACAGAATCGGGTTCATATCCTAGATCACAGCCCTACTACTTCTTATTTTTTTTAACCTTAAGTAATTTAAGTCTATGTGGCTATTTCCTCATCTGCAAAATGGGATGGTAATAGCACCTACTTTGTAGGAGGGTGGTAGGCTTAAATGCAATAATGCATTCAAAATGCTGAGAAACAGTATCTGGAAAAAGTTCTCAGTAAATTGTAATCGCCACCACCACCACCACCATCATCATCATCTTCATCGTTATTCTCTGCTTGTTGCGACCAAACAAAGCAAAGGTTGTGACCAGGAAAGGCTCCTGATGCCATATGCCCAGTTGAGTTTCTTCTAGAAAATGGGTCGCTGTGGATATTAAATGAGGTAGTATATGTGAGGTGTCTAGATCAGTGCCTTGCATATAGTTGACATTTAGCAAATACTCTCTTCCCTTTTCTTAGAGCAACTTTATCAGATTGTTTAATACATTTTTGATCAATATTGATTGCCTAACGTCTCTGTGTACTACATCTGCATGTTCCTGATTGATAATTAAGAGGTGGTTATAATAATGCAGGCAAAGACTGGAGCCTTGGAGAGTAGTGGCTAGGAGGAGTTAGGAAATGGAATAGATTTGGGGAATATTTAGGAGGTGAAATGGGACCTGGATACTGATTCATCATGGAGGGAGAGAAAGAAGTCCTTATCAAGAATGACCCTTAGATTTTTTGGTTTGTGTAACAGGTTTGATTGATTGATTGACTGATACATTTATTCATTTAGCAGATAGGTATTGAGTACACTTGTGTTAGGACCATTCCAAGCTTTCATTTACTGAGGTAAGGAGTGCTACGGGAGGATGCAGTTCGCATTTACAGTAGCATCCAGGTGGCCGTGTTTAGGAGGCAGTTGGGCCAACTGATCTGGAAGTTCTGGGGATACAAATGGGGATAGTCATTTCATTCTGGGGATGCGCATGCCTATGGGTAATAATTAAAGCCACTGACTAGGGGGGCGCCTGGGTGGCTCAGTTGGTTAAGCGACTGCTTTCGGCTCGGGTCATGATCCTGGAGTCCCTGGATCGAGCCCCGCATCGGGCTCCCTGCTCCGCGGGAAGCCTGCTTCTCCCTCTCCCACTCCCCCTGCTTGTGTTCCCTCTCTCGCTGTCTCTCTCTCTCTCTGTTGAAAAATAAATAAAATCTTTAAAAAAAAAAAAAAGCCACTGACTAGGGATTAGACCACCTTGGAAAAGAGAATAGAGTGGAAAAAGGCCTTCAACTGAGTCTTGAGGGGATCTGAGTCTAGCAGCTGAGACAGAGAGAAACTTCCAAAGAAGGCAGAGATGACTAATCCGAGAAGGGGAAGGAATGGGACAGTGTTTAATCACAGCCTCCCAGAAGGGCTGCTTATCCCTCCCTTTTCTCCCCATCACTGTTTTTTTAAATATATAAACTGCTATTAATTTAGAGACCATTTTTTCTTTCTTAAGTCTAATTAGCAAATGGAAGTTTGGGCTCCCAAATGAATTGAAATAGATTGGCCAGAAAAGGAAAGTATTTAAATGTGTTAGTAAAAAAAATAGACTCTGTTAACTAAATTATATTATACAAATTGATTATTCCATTAAAATAGTATGGCACAACTTGGGAGAAAAAGATGAAGTGACTAGAGCATACAAAATAAAAGTATTTTGTGTTTTCTTCCATATTGCATCTACTTTGATCCGTAGTTGGCCTTGCAGTAATTACTTTTAAATTCTTTTCTTAAAATGTTTAGTATTTACTTTTCTGAGTCCTAGACCATATGAAAACCTTATGGATCTAGAATTTTTTTTAACCTTTGCACTTAATTAGTAAAGAATCTAACATGAGTGTCTTTTTGCACAACATCTTCAACAGGATAACAGAGCCCAGTAGGTTCAGCATTGTGTTGTCATGGCAACTGCCCAAGAGTGTTGTTGTGGTTGTTTTGGGGGGGGGGTGTCTTTGTGTATGTGTGTGAGTGCCTGCTTTAAACTGAAATTCTCTAACTAGAATCTTAAAATGTCAACTATTCATTTTTAGATTTTGAAAGCTGTGCCGAAACCAAGAGCAATTAGATTTATATGAGATTATTGAAATCCTCATCTTGTTATGTTTTAGGTTCTAAGATATTTTAAAACAGTAGTGTGCCTACTCATCTCCAGATAATTTGCAGTCTTACCGATTTTTCTTAAAATCCTGAGGCAAACCAATATTCCTTTTCTAAATGTGAGGTCAATACAACACCAAATGTAAAAATATCAACGGTAAACAACTGACAAGCCAGTGTAGCATGGGCCCCTGATACGTATGGAGGTGCAGAAACCTGGATGGGCTAGCTGGACACTCTTCATCCAAGATTCTGGGGACATTTCTTCGAAGTGGATGTTGAATCCAAACTGGTCCATGTCTACACTGTTAGCCCAAATACTCAGAGCTGTATTTCATTTGAGTGTGCCCCTCCCTTTGACTCTTATCACTCCTTGAGTGTATGGGTGGTGACTAGGGAGAAATGACGTCAGCCGACATTCACTGACACTCACTTAAGACCTTAACCTGAATTAACGCAGTTCTCATAGTAACCCTATTATCTTCCTATCATCCTCATTGTACAGATAGGGAAACTGAAGCACAGAGAAATTGTGTAACTTGCTCAAAGTCAAACAGCTAGCAAGTGGAAGAACCAGGATTCAAACCCAGACAGGCTGGCTCCCCATCACTATACATGCCTCATGTTACCAGCTGCTTGTATAACCACAGTGGTAGAAATACTGAGTAATTAGTGTGAACAGCCCTCACGTTGATCCTCTGACCTCATCTGGGTTGTAGACATCTCTGCATGCAGACATGTTTCTGCTCTGTTAATATTGAATTTTGTTTTCGTATTTAAATATAATATTTAAAATAATAAACCTTTATTCTTTTCCCAGGACCCAGCATATTGTCCCCCATATAGACACCTAGTATATTGTCCCCCATGTAGACATGCTTCTTGAGCAAGGATAGTTTGCTTGACGTGAAGCCTGGTATAGAGGCCATTTAGCCATTATCAGAACAGCACTTCTGCTATTTACGATGGTTGCTATCCTACTAGGTTATAAGTTCCTAGAAGGCAGCCCATCTTTGTATGGGCTGCCCCAGAATAATATGTTAAATTGAATGCTCAGTAAATATTTGTTGAAATGTCCCGAATCTCGTCTCCCCCACCACCCATTACTCTTAGAGTCTGTAAGAGGCCCTGAGCATCCCTACCTAGAAGCCCACCTCACCAGCATCTCCTTGGTTTTCAGCCACCCTCCCAGTGGCTCCTTTCTCCCCCTATCCTTGAACATTCTTTAGTTTTTCCCCTTATTCTGTTTCCTACTCATAAGCCCTCTGCCCTCCCCTACTTCTTTGTTCCCTTCTGATGGAAGAAAAAAGCAAGCAAGCACACCAGATTTTTAGCTTTTTTTTTTCTCTCTCCTGTTTCCACTTGCCCCTGTGACCCAATGCAGAGCAAGAAGGCCCCAAGTGGAAGGACTGGCTATGCCAGGGCAGGCAGGGTGATGTGTGGCCCGGCAGTGATTCACTGTATCCATGCAAGACCAACCTGTTCTCATTTTACACTCCTACCAGTTCTCCACGAGTTTTTAACTGAGCAACAAATGCCAATCAGTGTAGGTTAAAAAGAACATGAACACACATATTATTAGTGCCTACTATTCTGAGTGAGGAATAGGTCTCACTCATTTAAAAACTACCTCTAAGAAATGGTTCAAAATATAATACATAGGGTTTGGATAAATACTATCTAACTTAGGGTTTGTCCAACACAGGATGAGCTGAAATGTAATATAAGGTAAATAAGGATGTTTACTCTTTTAGGACCATCAGGTTAATTTATTCCCTAAGTCCGTTTCACAGTAAGAAGCATTTACTGACCTTAGAGTGAATGCCCCCGGGTAAGGGTTTCTGTTAGGGGATGCGCTTCATGAATCACAGGGTGCTTTTACACAGTGAGAATTAGCGCACCTTTTCACACTGATGAGATGAGCATGGCACAGTGGCCGTGATGAACTCAAATTTGTTTTCTTTTCATGAGTTGTTTTCAGTAATGTATTCCCAATATGCGAGGCTCTCTCTAGGGTCCCCTGCACGATCTTATCTAGTGCCCAGCAGACAATGCTCTGGGCTGCCGGCGCAGTATTTCTACCTTAATGGGTAACACTTGTCACCTTTCCTAAACACCCTGAGTACAGTCTTTAAAGGTTTAAGGATTTAGAGCAGTTGGGAGGCAGTGATCAGTGATTAATCAGCTAATTCCCTCCACACTTGGGAGATGAAAGGTGACAAGGAGGCCAGTCTGTGACCTCTTCCTCACCCCAGAAGTTACCACGACAGTCTCTGCCCCTTTTTCCTTCTGGCCTTTACTTTTCTTTCTTCTTTTTTACCCTCTTTAGCTTTTCCTTTTTATCTTTTCTATTCCTAAATGATCTCTTTCTGTCCACTCCCTCCCTTTCTATATTTCTTTTATTTTTACCTTCCTCTCTCTCTGGCCTTCTCCTCTCCCTTGCCATCCTCTCTCCATCCCTCC